CCGAATGGCGCGTCTGGTTTTGTGAATTAGTAGTCGCATGTGCGCACCGCCGTCGCAGCTTTGACCATCATAGACTCAGCAGTCGTCGGTCTCAATTCCAGACACCACTTCTTGGAGAATAAATTATCCAACAGTATATCTTTTGTTGCGTGCCGCCAACTAAGCGCCATGCATGCAGTGTACCACGAGAAGAAGTCCAGGAACGAATTGGGCAGCATCACTTCTAGTTCTCGTTTCTTCCTGGGTTCGAATTCTTGCGCACTTAGCTCTGTATCTTACTTGCCTCTGGCGTTTCTACGGTATATGGTGTTTTTGACGGCTGTTATCGACGCAGAATCTGGTTCCCGAGAACTCCGTAACTGGGAGGCGGAGGGGGTCCTTAGCGACCAACAAGACCTTGCGCTGTATATCATGGACACAAGTCAATCTTCTCTGCAGTGGCTTGTCTCGTTCTCTGTCAGCGATTTACACCAGTGTTGCCGATACGGATCCCTAGAGCGAGAACCCTGTTGTCAAGATAAAAGCTTGTAGTTTCGGTAAAAACTCTGGATGCGGTATGTCGTTCTTCTCCGAGTCATCCCTACTAGCCACAAGTCGAGTTTGTCATCAACTCGAGCCCGCTACAAAGCACAATTTTATGATGAGACAATACTTGTTTGGCGGAGTCTTGTCGCAGTGGAAGAATATTGCTTTATCTACTTGCCTGGATCTGTCGTTCTCCCTCAATTCTTTTCCGCCTTGGAGCCACCGAACCAATATCCGGTTTACTGATCTTCCATCTGTCGGCTTGACTGGTGCATAGCACACTGAGAACGGCGGCGAGTCGGTCCCCAGTTTGTATGCAGCCCAGGCGATTTGAACGTCACAGCGCTTGGCTCGTCATCATGGATGTTAACCAGCAAGGCGTCTACTAAAACTGCGGCCACCAGAGCCCAACGCCGGAGGAAATTACTCGGTCTATGTTATCGACTTCCCATGCAGAACAATATCGACAGCAATTCAAATATTTATCTGATACACGTAAAGAGTGACGCACCGAATGCATAATTGACTCATGTCTCCGACCACTCGTGGCTTCTCTGGCCGCCCGGGCACATGTTCTCCCGTAGCGGTATCCCAGGTTAGTCTCACAATTCACATCTAGCGTCTGATATGCTTCAACATCTTGCTTCTTAATATTACCTTCGCAGGTGGTCGGTTCCTTGCCCCTCCTTTCACATACAAATTTCCAATATAGCCTCAAAATGCTACCCACAAAAGGACAATCAGACCATTTGGAAGGGAGCACTTCATACGACGTGGTCGATCAATAGGTAAGAATCCGAACAGCCCGTTGAATTTGCCCCAAGTCACTGCCGCGTCCCATTGACATTTCCCTTTCCAGTTTTAGCCTCTCTTCCAACCTGTGCGCCAGATATCAATCATCGTGGAGATTATGCTGGCTATTCGTGCCTCGTGAATGATCGTTCCGATGAGCTCGGCATGAACGGACTCATGTGCACTTCCATATCGTCGCGCAGGCTGTAAGATCATTTACTTGGAATTCAGTCTCCACACCAATTAATGCTACTCGGAAGTTGTTCATCTAGGGTCCTTGAACAACGCCGCCTGACCAATTGGCTGTTCCATTCTGGTGGCGTTCACACCCCTTGTCAATTTATTGGCTAGACTGACCAGCATGGCGGAATGACAATCTGATTTTGTTGCACTGCACTCGGGATCAAAGCGTGTTGCCGTATCTATCTCGGATTTACATACCTTTGCATTAGGATTCTGGGTCTATCGCGAGTATGATTTCCCCAAAACTTTCTGCAGGCACCCCATGGCATCAACACAGAAGCAGGCCTTCAAGATTAAATTCAAACCTTGTCTTTACTGGCTGAATGGATGCTGTAGCCATGCAGCGGCCGTCCGGAATCCGGATGCTGCGCTAGCCCAACATCGCCTGCTCGTGAGTGTCTTGGAGACCGCGATTACGTTCTGAGTGCTTAGATCTATCGGTGGGAATTTAATCCGCCAAAGACGTCCTGTGTTTGATGTTGTTCTAGGCCATACCTGCCATGCGTTGGCTTCGGAAAGAATGAAAGTAGCGTTTGACCGCAGTCATAATTCAAAAGCGCTTGCGTGGGCTTGACGCTGTGCAAAACATGATCGCAAGGTGAGGATGTCTCATGTGGTACCGGTGACGTTACATCGCTAAGTGTCCTGTGCGTACACACGTCCTAGAATGTCCACTGCGCGTCACCTATGGTTCTGATGCACGAGGAGATCTAGTAGCATGTTGATCGACCACTCATATTTCCGCCCCGTTACCTACACGATGCAGCGAGCGTGCACAAATTGGTTGTACACAACTGACACCGGAATCATACGCTTCCATTCATACTTTGACATTATTCACGATACCGTGCAGCTTCACTTCCGTTTGTCAAGCCACAAAAGATCGCTGCTTCTTCGGGAACTCTAAAATACGACTACCATTCGAGTCACTACCATGTAATCAATCTATCTGCCATGACCGGGGGTTGTGAATCAAGAATCTGTAGCGAGACACCTGTCTTTCCCCGCTGACAAATTTTCCGTGCCTCTCTACCCGCTCGCCTTCAGCCGCTTGAACTCCTTGGTATTTTCCTCGATAGCGACCTCTGCAGGCAGCCTTTCCATGCTAGACGCCCCGAAGAACCCGTGTACTCCCTGTGTCCTGCTCAACACGTAATGCGCATCATCTGCCCTCGCAATTGGTCCTCCGTGGCACAACACAATGATTTCTGGATTTATCTTCACCGCTGCGTCCCTGCACGCTTGGATAGTAGTGACACAGTCATCCAAGGTGACACTAGTATGCGCGCCAATACTCCCAGACGTCGTAAGGCCCATATGGACGACCAAGACGTCTGCGCCCGCCCGCGTCATAGCTTCCGCTTCGCTGACGTTGAAGACGTATGGCGTCGTTAACAGTCCGAGCTGCCGCGCTTCACGGATCATGTCTACTTCCAGGGAATATCCCATACCAGTCTCCTCGAGATTCTGTCGAAAGGTACCGTCGATAAGGCCGACGGTCGGAAAATTCTGCACGCCACAAAACCCGATGTCCTTCAGCTGCCGAAGAAAGCGCGGCATCGAACGGAAGGGGTCCGTCCCACACACACCGGCCAGTACCCCCGCGCTCTTGACAATCGGCAGGACCTCGTTTGCCTGTCGTTTTCAGCGGGGTGAGATCAGGAGTATGAGTAGAGTAATGACTAGGCGGACCATTTCTACCACGATCGCATTGGCATCTCCATATGGCATGAGACCGGCCAGGGATCCCCTGCCGGCCATGCGGAAACGGCCACTGTTGTACAAAACTATGAGGTCTGCGCCGCCTTTCTCAATGAATTTGGCAGAAAGGCCAATTCCTGGGACGCAAGTGGCTTGTTATCTCCGGCCCATGACTCCAGCGCGCGGCCAACATACCTGCTCCCGCCCCAAGGATGATCTTTCCCGACGCGATGGTTTCGCGCAGGTGCTGCAGGGCCTCTTCTCTGTTCTCTGGTCGTGGCATTCTGACAATTATTGCAACTTCAACTTGGGGGATGAAGGACGACTTGGACCCGGAGCGCTTGTGTATCGATCGCTCCGCTCACATGCAAGCTACGTCATGTGCGTTCCGCTAATCCGCCTCTTCCGCTGGCGTGTGGTATGACAAGTCCCAGGGCTATAGCAAGGACACGTCCAGCCCTTCGCTTCACACTCCATGCGGCGGCCTGGTTCGCCTAAAGTGTTATACTCTGCTACCTGCGTCCATGATGGCGCATCCCACTGTCGCCCTCATCGGCACCTGCGACACCAAGCTTGAGGAGCTTCTCTATGTCCATGATAAACTGGTAAACCAGCACGGAATGCAATGCAAACTAATCGATGTCGGCCGAACACCCAGTGACCATCCGTCAATCTCCATCAGACAATCTGATATCTTCAGGCTGTCGGGTATCCCTCCTGTGGACTTGACGGCCCTTCCGCGCGGCGAAGTTATATCGACGCTCATCAAACACACCATCCCTATCGTAGCGTCCATGCAAGAGTCGAATGCGATCCACGCCGCTCTGTCGCTCGGGGGCAGCGGAGGCTCGTCGCTCGCAGCAGAGGTAATGCGAGCTGCCCTGCCGCTCGGCTTCCCGAAACTCATCGTGAGCACCATGGCCGCGGGGGATGTGCGCCCGTACGTCGGCGAATCCGACGTGACCATGATGCACAGCGTCGTCGACATCGCCGGCCTGAACGACATCCTGTGCGCCGTCCTCGACAACGCTGCAGGAGCCATCGCGGGGATGGCGCGCGCACAACACACTCGACTTGTGCACGCTACCTCGCCCGCCCTGTCGAACAGCCTCTCGGCTCCGCCGTCCCAGGACAAGCGCATTGCGATCACTATGTTCGGAGTGACAACCCCCGCAGTGACGCACGCACGTGCGCTGCTCGCAGCCTACCCTTGTACCACATACATCTTCCACGCCACGGGCGCGGGCGGGCGTGCCCTGGAGCGCCTCGCCGCCGCGCACTACTGGGACGGCGTGCTGGACCTCACCACGACGGAGCTCGCAGACGCGCTACTCGGCGGCGTACTGAGCGCGGGGGACATGCGGCTCACATCTGTAGGCGCAGCGCGTGTCCCGCAGATCGTGTCGCTCGGTGCGCTCGACATGGTAAACTTTGGCCCGCGGGAGACGGTGCCGGGGAAGTACCATGGGCGCAACCTACACATGCACAATCCGAGCATAACGTTGATGCGCACGTCGCCCGAAGACTGCGCGACGCTTGGGCAGCAGGTCGCTGAGCGCCTGGCGGGCGCGGATCCTGATTTGACGGAGGTTTGGGTGCCGGTGCGGGGGGTGAGCGCCTTGAGCGTGTGCGGCCAGCAATTCCACGACCCGGAGGCGGATAGGGCTCTTTTTTCTGCTGTGAAGGCGGGACTGGGAGGCACTGGTATACGGGTGAGGGAAGAGGACCACGACATCAACGATCCTGCGTTTGTGCAGGGGATGGTCCAAAGGCTCGTGGAGATGATGGGTCTGGAGCCTGTGCGCGATGAGGTGTAGTGCAGCCGACTTTGGTCTTTGGTGGAGGGGCCTGCGTAGGAGTTGAGATGAGAGGTGGATTTATGTATGGGTCTATTTAACGCGATTTACGCGCAGCCCGACAGACTCGGACAACTCGAGTCCGCGTGACGTCATACTCAAGGTCCTGTCGTCGAAGCGCCCGAGAGCAAAGAATGGCCCATGCAGGTAGCCAAACTCCTGCAGCCGCCTGGGTCCAGTCAAACTCCGTCGTGAAAGAGACATATCGAGTGGATAGATACTCATTCATCTGCGCCCATCATCGAGACCACCTTTCTTTTTACGCCACTAAGACCAGCAACTGGAAATAAGGACCTTAGAAGCCATGCCCGCCCGGCTCGGATTCAAATTGAAGAAAATGATATTGAAAGACACACAAAGTTAGACTGTACAATGTAGTAATAGGTCAGGGGGGTGGGGAATTGGGAATGGGGCTCCTGACAAAGCTCCGCACGGTTGTGCAGACTCGCAAGAGGGGACAGCGTGAGTTTACGGATACACAGCGACGATGACGACAAAGACGACCTGACAGGACCTAGAAGGAGCGGACGGTACACGAAGCACGGGCCGGCCGGTACGGCACGGTCAGTCGAAAGCCTCTTCTGCACTCCGTCGCACCAGGCGCCGGACCTTCTTCTTGTATGCTATCGTGACCAAGGCAAGTCAGAGGAGACCGGATATGGGCACTTGAATACATACTGTCAAAGCTCTCCCTCACCTCCTTTGCCGCATCTACATTCGCAGGACTGTCCAGATTGGGCGTGTCGGACGAGAGGAGCGATATGACACTCAAGAGCTGCACAAACAGTGTTATTCAAGAATCTGTGACATCGCTGGGAAATTACGCACAATGGATTCGACTGTGTGCACAGGCAGCCATCTCTCTCCAGAATCTTCGTAGCCGTATTGGTCTTCGCCGGGTGGGTGCTGTATGGCGTTATGATGTGTGAACGCCTTGGACAGCGGGCGGCTGGGCTGAGCTTACCAGGATGGAGATACAGACATTGCCATCGGGATAAACTATATCACGCGGATCTCAATTTCCTACACGAAATCACGAGAAATGAAAAGAACTGACTGTTCGGGTGCCACATGGGCGTGAGGAAGCGCATCTTTGGTGGCTGGATGGGGTACTCCTCCGGGAAGCTCAGCCTAGCCCTGAAGATGCCACCCTCGCTATGCAGAGACGTCAGCATCAGTCGACATCAGAATACGAAGAAACGTTCGCAGGACACATACTACAGCGTATCCGGCGGTCTGTCCAAGTGGTACATCAAAATCCGCAGACATACGGCAGACAACAGACGCACCCGATGATCATGATATCCCACTCATAGAAGTTGTTGTCGTCGACGAGACCTGTGTTGCGCGGAAGAGATAATCAAAAAGATGCGAGGCGAGGCATGGTTAGTGGTAACCCTCGCTGGGGGCGCGTACCGGCAGAGAAGCCCTCGAGGGGACGCTTCTTGAGCTCCGCAAGCTGACGGCGAAGGAGGAGGCCGTTGGAGGACATCGACGTCGCAGATGGTCTAGACATGGTGTGTGACAGAGGGTAACGACTGCGGCAGTGGCGAGCGGAAGGGCAGGGCGGATCGATGTGAGCGAGGTGGGTCAGGGCACACGAGCGCTTGGCTTTTATAGCCCGACGGTGGCGGATCTCGGTCGTGGGAACGTTATGCGAGTCTGCAATTCGACTTACGACCTCTATTTCCTGCGAGCTGCTGCAGGGGGATGGACTCGACGACCATGGCCAGCGACGAGCACGACGAGCACGACTGGGAGCAGCTCGGCCAGCCCCACTGGCGCGGCCTAGGACTCACCGATCCTATCAAGAGTATCGAGGTGCGTCTGTCAGTGTCCCCCCGCCCGCCGCAACAATCTAATCTTTTTTTGTTTTTTTTTGCATAGGACAAATGGCTGCTGCTACCGGCATTTCTAAAGGTCAAGGGCCTCGTGAAGCAGCACATCGACTCGTTCAACTACTTTGTCGACGTCGACATCAAGAACATCCTCAAAGCGAACAACAAAGTCACCTCGGACGTCGATCCCCGCTTCTGGCTCAAGTACACCGACATCGTCGTCGGCTTCCCCGACCGGACCGACGCAGATGCCGTCGACAAGAGCGTCACCCCGCACGAGTGCCGCCTGCGCGACACGACGTACGGCGCCCCCATCCTCGTCACGATCCAGTATACGCGGGGGAAGAGCGTCGTGCGGCGTGCAAACGTGAACATCGGGCGGCTGCCCATTATGCTCAGGAGCAACAAGTGCGTCTTGACGGGGAGGAACGAGGCGCAGCTTGCGCGCATGACGGAGTGTCCCCTCGATCCAGGGGGGTACTTCATCGTAAAAGGCACGGAGAAGGTCATCCTCGTCCAAGAGCAGCTAAGCAAAAATCGCATCATCGTCGAGGTTGACCCCACAAAAGGCATCGTCCAGGCGTCCTGCACGTCGTACGTGTCCCTGTCCGTCCGATCTCCGGACGCGAACTAACCCGTTCTAGATCTACGCACGGGGGGCTCAAGTCCAAGACTTACGTCGCGACGAAGAAGGGCAAAATATACCTCCGTCACAACTCTATTCACGAAGACGTGCCCATCGTGATCGCGCTCAAGGCTCTCGGCATCCAGTCGGACAAGGAGATCCTTCTGCTCACCGCCGGGAACCACGAGGCATACAAATCAGCGTTCTCTCCGAACCTTGAGGAGGCCGCTAAGCTCGGCATCCTCACCCGTCACCAGGCTCTAGAGTACATCGGATCTCGCGTAAAAGTGAATCGGAGGGTAGTGGGCCCGAGGAGGCCCGCTTGGGAGGAGGCGCTGGAAGCGCTTGCGACCATCGTCCTGGCGCATGTGCCGGTGCAAGGCCTCGACTTCCGATCAAAGGCCATCTTTGTCGCCACGATGACTCGGCGGGTGCTTATGGCAATGGACGACGAGAAGATGGTGGACGATAGGGACTACGTGGGGAACAAGCGTCTCGAGCTGTGAGTTCTGCCGAGCCTAACTCTAAGAAAGCGGCTAACGAGGCGCTCGCAGGGCGGGGCAGCTGCTCGCGCTGCTGTTCGAGGATCTGTTCAAGACGTTCAACACGAACCTCAAATCTGCGATCGACAAGGTCCTGAAGAAGCCGTCGCGCACGAGCGAATTCGACGCGTTCAACACGATGCAGTTCCAGGGCGACCACATCACGTCTGGGTTTGTGCGCGCCATCTCGACGGGCAATTGGTCGCTGAAACGGTTCAAGATGGACCGCGCGGGCGTTACGCACGTTCTCAGCCGCCTCTCGTTCATTTCCGCCCTCGGTATGATGACGCGGATCTCATCGCAGTTTGAGAAGACGCGCAAGGTCAGCGGACCGCGTGCCCTGCAACCGAGCCAGTGGGGGATGCTGTGTCCCAGCGATACGCCCGAAGGCGAGGCCTGCGGGCTGGTGAAGAATCTGGCGTTGATGACGCACATTACCACCGACGTGGATGAAGAGCCGATCATCAGGATAGCGTTCATGCTCGGCGTCGAGGGCGCGTATTTCTTCTGCATCTGTGCTGGCCGTCTGTGCTGTCCGTTTGACTGACGCTTGGCCGGACAGATATCAGCTTGGTCACCGGGGCCGAAATATACGGCCCCGGGACGTTCGTCGTCAACGTGAACGGGACCATCATCGGGCTGACTCGCTACCCCGCCCGTTTCGTCAGTAACTTCCGCAAGCTGCGCCGGGCGGGGCGCTTCAGCGAGTTTGTCAGCGTTTACATCAACCATCATCACCGGACCGTGCTCATTGCCAGCGACGGCGGGCGGATCTGCCGGCCTATGATTATTGTCGAGAACGGGAGGCCTAGAGTTGCATCTGACCACATCTTGGTACGTTGTCGCCCGGCATGACGTGCCCAGCGCACTAACGTGGGCCGCTCCAGCAACTCAAAAAGGGCCTGCTGATGTTTGACGACTTTTTACGAAAGGGGCTAGTCGAGTACCTCGACGTAAACGAAGAGAATGACTCGTACATAGCGCTCTATGAAGCCGACATTGTTCCAAGCACCACACACCTGGAGATTGAGCCGTTCACGCTGCTCGGTGCGGTCGCCGGCCTGATTCCGTACCCGCACCATAACCAGTCCCCCCGAAACACGTACCAGTGCGCGATGGGCAAGCAGGCGATCGGCGCCATCGGGTACAATCAGCTGAACAGAATCGACACGCTGCTGTATCTCTCCGTCTACCCGCAGCAGCCCATGGTGAAGACCAAAACGATCGAGCTGATTGGCTACGACCGGCTGCCCGCGGGGCAGAACGCGACGGTGGCCGTGATGAGTTACTCGGGCTACGACATTGAGGACGCACTCATCCAAAATAAGGTTCGCCAAGTTGTGCTGTGCGGTGTGTTGGTTCTGACACGGCTCGGTGGACGCGCTAGGCCAGTTTGGACCGTGGCTATGGCCGGTGCCAGGTGTTGCGGAAGAACGCGACGCTCATCCGCAAGTATCCCAACGGGACGTGAGTGCACCGTTTTCCCCGTGATGGCCACGGCGTGCTGACGCACCGGCGCCAGGTTTGACCGGCTGGCGGATGCGCCGGTGGACGAGAGCGGGCAGACGCAGAAGAAGTACGACATCATCCAGCTGGACGGGCTGGCGGGCGTCGGGGAGCGCGTGGACCCGGGCGACGTGTACATCAACAAGCAGACGCCGACGAACGCGAACGACAACACGTTCACGGGGCAGGCGGCGACGGTGCCGTACAAGAACGCGCCGATGACGTACAAGTCGCCCGTGGCGGGGTACATCGACAAGGTGATGGTGAGCGACACGGAGAACGACCAGACGCTGATCAAGGTGCTCATCCGCCAAACGCGCCGCCCGGAGCTCGGCGACAAGTTCTCGTCGCGGCACGGGCAGAAGGGCGTGTGCGGGCTGATCGTGAACCAGGAGGACATGCCGTTCAACGACCAGGGCGTCGTCCCCGGTGCGTCGTCCCGCCGCGCTCGCTGGGCGCTCCCCCGCTGACGTCCCGCTCGCCGCAGACACGATCATGAACCCGCACGGGTTCCCCTCGCGGATGACGGTCGGGAAGATGATCGAGCTGCTTGCAGGCAAGGTGCGCCCATCTCGCCGCTCGCACGCGCGCGCGCGGAGGCACTGACGCCCCACAGGCCGGCGTGCTCGCGGGGAAGCTGCAGTACGGCACCGCGTTCGGCGGCTCCAAGGTGCGTGCGCGGCGAGCGGGCGGGGGCGCGCGGGTGCGGGGCTGACGCGGCGCGGGCGCAGGTCGAGGACATGTCGCGGATCCTGATCGAGCACGGGTTCAGCTACGCGGGCAAGGACATGCTCACGAGCGGGATCACGGGCGAGCCGATGGAGGCGTACGTGTACTTTGGGCCGATATACTACCAGGTGCGTCCCGGCCCCCGCCGCGCTGCCCGCGTGCTGTGCGCTGACCTGCGCGCAGAAATTGAGTGCGCCCGTCTGCGTTGTGTGCCGCTGTGGTGACCGCTGACGGAAGTATGTTTTGCTTTTTCTTTCTGTTCCGGCGCAGAGCACATGGTGATGGACAAGATGCACGCGCGCGCGAGGTGAGCGACGCGGTTGTTTCTTCTAAACAAAAACTCTCTGCGTGCGTGCGGGTGCTGATGGACGGACGGCAGGGGCCCGCGGGCGACGCTGACGCGGCAGCCGACAGAGGGGCGGTCGCGCGAGGGGGGGCTGCGGCTGGGGGAGATGGAGCGGGACTGCTTGATCGGGTACGGTGCGACGCAGCTGTTGCTGGAGCGGCTGATGATCTCGTCGGACAAGTTTGAGGTGAACGCGTGCGAGGAGTGCGGGCTGCTGGGGTACAACGGGTGGTGCCCGTTCTGCAAGAGCTCGAAGCGGATGGCGCAGCTGACGATCCCGTACGCGGCGAAGCTGCTGTTCCAGGAGGCGAGTCGCGCCCGTTCTGTGTGCGTGTGTGTGTGTGCGTGCGTGCTGATGTGACGGTGATGGCTCCCGCAGCTCATGGCGATGAACGTCGTCCCGCGGCTGGTGCTCGACGACGCGTGATGGGGGCGCGGGGGACACGTTGGGGCCGGGGTGGTCTGCGGCGGAGGGCGGACGAGCGTGCATCAGGACAGGGCAAGAAGACGGCGTTCATCTCCGCGGTGCGCGCAGGTGGTGTCAGCGGTCGAATTGGATGCGGCGGTGGGCTGTGGCGGAGGAGGTTGATCCCTGGGGGCTGAGCGCTGATGTTCGCCCTTCGCCTTTCGCCCTTGTTCCTCCGGCGGCGGAGCCAGTTGGGGCGTCGAGCGCCGCGGCCGGGTGCCTGGAATAGGCAGATGGATCCCGCGCAAGCCGTGCTGGACCGATGCGGTAAAAGCCATGTTTGATTGAGTTCAGTGTAGGGGCGGGGAAGGGAAGGGAAGAGAAGGTGCGATGTCAGTGTATTTATACGCGTGCTTCGGGGGTTGTGGGGCACAATCGAACGTGCTGCGAAGAGACCGGCGTTGCGCTGTGCCCGCGTGCATGCATGCAATGTCTTTGCCTTGCCTCGCAGTTGTAGCGAGAGACCAATTCAAAAAAAAAATACATCTGTCATGGTTTTGAAGAGGCTGTAAGAGGCAGGGAACTCGGGGTCAAATTCATATCCCAAAGTGTGTGTGATTTCAGGACCCTCTGGCTGCGCGGGTGCGCGGGGGTTCCGATGGCACGGACAGGACAGGATGAATTCTGCAGGTTGATATTGTCACCGTGTCGGCCTCGAGGCTGCACGGCGTCCGGTGTGTGCTGATGTCGGCGGGAGGCGCGGCTGAGTTTGACTGCGCGGACGAGATCGAGCACGCGCGCCCGCGCCTGCCATATCGGGCACGCGGGCGGCTGGTGCGCGGCAG